TATCACTAGTAAGGGATTTCAGTTCCATTTTAAAAATAGTTTACCGTTTATTAAATCTTAGTCCCTTAGTTCAGTTAATGCGTAATTTAGGTACCTGCCGTTACAGATATAGAGCAAGGTAGATCTGCAAAGACATTTAGGTTATATTTTTTGATTCGTCGCCTACGGATCGTGACGATCATGGTTCAGCATACTTTTGTTAAACTCTCGTTTGAGACGCGGTCCTGCGTATTATGCCCTGCAGGGCCTTAAATACTGTGAAGGCACGGCATGTTTATCTAGTCCTCTTAGAGTCTAAAAGGAAGGGGGCAGTACAACACTGCTGCTGGTGTAAAGTGAGAAATAGAATTTTCTTTCTTTACACTGTGCATTTTCGCAGTTTCAATCCGGTTTCATTATTTTTGCTGTGATATATTCAGCGGCGGTATCAATAGGTTCCCAAGAACTACATCGTGGTTATATTTTGTCATTTGATCGACAACTCACCCTCAGTTTTACTTCGGTCAAGCCTCGCTGGTGACAAGACGTAAACTCCTGACAACAGTCAGAGCGATAGCTGTATCTTCAAGGTTTGGCATCCGTTGTATCCTCTTCACTAGCGATCGGATCCGTTCCACACATCAAGCAGAGCCGTGTCTTGCTCTTAAGTGTTTCTCAGACCTTGTGCGATTTGCCCATGCTGCCTGCTCTGCACAAACCTTGCCTCGCTCTCTTCGCGTCGTTGACCGCCTGGAAGTAGAGAGAGAGCTTTAAGCAAGGCAATAGATCGAATGATGGGACAAAGTAGGACAGACTGCCTTTTGAGCCGGTCGCGAATCTCCACATGTCGTAGTATCGAGGCTGTCGCAATCGATATCGAGTGAGTGAGGTTCGAAGTCACAAGATCGCAGGTTCGAATCTAGGTCAGACCACCGGTCTTGGATCCGGCCGAAGAAACGAGCGAGTACAACTATGTTGGTGCTGTGTACCACAGTGGCGAACCACCTCTTACCTTCAAAGCTAACGCTGATCGCATCGAAGTGATGAACGTCACAGCTTAATGCTCATCACAAGGTTGCGTAGACTGTACAAAAAACACCTGAACCATGAATAGCATCCGATTCGTTCGTTCGGTCTGTATCAAACAAATATTTCGTTGCTGATAACCGAGATTCGATTAATCACCAACCGCACCTATTTATGAATAACTTCCATGATGGAAGTTTGACGGAAATCGACATATCGAAATAATTGGAAACGTTTACAGTACTTTCGTTTCATTATGACAAGGCTGACCCGACGTATGATATTCTGACTGCAATTCCAGACAGAAAATATGAGGATCGATGTTCGATTTTTCTCTGAAGAGTGCATTATGAGTTCTTCATACTCTCTACCTCATTGACAGAAGTTGATTAGTTAGTTTTTCTGCTTTTCTTGCAACTTATGAATTTTTTGACAAGCAGAGTTCGCTACAGCCTAAAGAAATACCACTGATCGAATGGTAAGCACTTTAACTACTAAATTTCAAGTACAACTGCGGCGTTTTACAAAAGAAGCGATCATCATTGTCGTTTCAATCTGCTAGCATAGTTCATAGTCAGAAAAACGCATGACTTGACACTGTCACTACCTCCCTTCCTCCTCCCTGCAGTTTCCCCTGATCCTGACCTCGCATGGCATACCAATTCACAAATGACTTAGGTTCGGTCAGGTTGTTGTGCAATTACTCTAGCTCGGTCTTACATCTGCTGAAAGGAAGGCATTAGAAATCTGCTGTAATGATATCGGCTATGTTGGACCTCGTAGCGTACTGTTGGACAATTCAGTGTCTTCTCATCAAGTTCCAGGAAGATCGAGATCAGGGTTACTCAGTCAGTAGAGCCTCAGCCTCACAAGTCTGACTTCCGGACTTCGAGCCCCGGTCAGGTCATTGGCTTTTCTTTCTTCCGCCGTTGATAAATAAATATCATTCCGTAATGGGGAAACAGGAGGCTACACCCTGTACACGCTTGTCACAGATACGGTTGTTGAGATCATCACTTTGAGATGCAGAATCCATCAGCAGAACGTCTCCGGTTTGCGATGTCCGCTGTATTCGTAGTCTTTGCAACACTTCTGTTATAAGGCGCTGGCTACTGCATGATAGAAGGAAATGTTCTTTTCCAAAAGCAGATCTGCCTCTATTTTGCAACTCCATTTTGCATGCTGGCCTCCTAGTCGGATATAGCCATAGACTCTAACTTTAAAATAAGGTACTTCTAGCTGACGGCACGGAAAGGAAGACCAGCCTCGCTCCATAAAGTTTAAGAAGAAGAAGAGCACCAGAAATCGGCTCTAACCATGCAAGTGTAAGGGAAACCGACATCCCAATGGTCAGAAGCTTTTCTTTTCCTTCTTCCTTTCGTCGTTAGCTGTTTTATAAAAAAATGTAGCAAAATGTATCCCATGTGAAAACATATTGCACATGACGAGCTGTTTCATATAACTGCTGCATTTGCTTTGGTAGACTACTCTACAGAAGGCCAGATACCACGGCTCGGTGAGCAAAACAGTAGGAATGGAATTCTTCTTCTGCGGAGGTATGCACACTGGT